TCAACTCAGAGACACCTTGGATAGGGTTTCTGAGACTTTAGATCTTCACTGGAGCAGAAAGCCTCATCTTTCTCCTGTGAAGGGACTGGTGGGCTCAAGTTGCCGACCTTGTGGTTTGCAGTCCAATGCTACTTAGGGAGTCCATATGTTGTTGTTAAGTGCTGTAGAGTTGGTCCTAACTCATAGTGACCCTGTATAGGGTTTCTGAAGAGCAACTGGTGAGTTTGAGCCACCAACCATGTGGTTCAATACAACCTTGTGGATGAGTGTTTATACTACACCAGGTCTCCAGGAGTTCATATAGGCCCACGTAATGAGCAACCATCCTTCTCCAGCGACTGGTCTGCTGGAGAAGGATATCATATTTAGTAGGGTGGAGGGTCAGAGAAAAAGAGGAAGACCCCCCAGCGAGATGGATTGACCCAAGTGACAGCATCAATGGGCCCAAGCGTGGCAACAACAGGATCGGGCACTGTTTCATTCTGTTGTGCATAAGGTCCCTATGAGTTGGTACTGACTCCATGGCACCTAACAACAACAACAACTAGCAACCATCTGGGACAAAACAAATTTAGGAAGGAATGGTTACATACTGCAGAGTTGTTAAGGCAAAATTTCTAAGGCTGAAAGGCATCTATTGTAATTCAGAATCAGATGTTTAATGATTTCCCAGTATAGGTCAGATGGGGGCATTGGTGGTGGTCTATAGTAGAATTCTCACCTTCCATGCTGGAATCCTGGGTCCTTTCCTAGCCCTTGTACCCCAAACATGGCCAGTACGTCAGTGGAGACAGCATTTCCCACATCCCATTGTATGTCCGATGGATCTTGGCTGAAAGCAGAGACTATCTGAAAGATGTTTACGTGTGCTTTATTGACTACACAAAGGCTTTAGATTGTGTGGATCATGACAAGCTATGGACAACATTGCGAAGTATGAGTATTCCGGAACACTTAATTGTGCTCATGAGGAGTCTGTACATGGACCAAGAAGCAGTTGTTCAAACAGAACATGGGAACACTGAGTGGTTTAAAATTAAGAAAGTGCGACAAGGTTATATTCTTTCACTATATTTACTCAACCTGTATGCTGAGCAAATAATCTGAGAAGCTGGGTTATATAAAGAAAAACGTGGCATCAGGATTGGAGGAAGACTCATAAACAACCTGTGATATGCAGATGATACAACCTTGCTTGCTGAAAGTGAAGAGGACTTCAAACATTTACAGATGAAAATCAAAGAGCACAGCCTTGGGTATGGATTACATCTCAATGTAAAGCAAACAAAAATCCTCACCACTGGTCCATTAAACAACATTCTTATCAACGGAGAAAAGATTGAAGTTGTCAAGGACTTCATTCTTCTTGGATCAGTTATCAACATTCACAGAAGCAGTAGCCAAGAAATTAAATGATGCATTGCATTAGGCAAATCTGTTGTACAAGACCTTTTTAAAGTGTTGAAGAGCAAAGATATCAACTTAAGGACTAAGGTGTGCCTGACCCAAGCAATGGTATTTTCAATAACCTCATATGCCTGCGAAAGCTGGACAGTAAATAAGGAAAACCATAGATGAATTAATGCTTTTGAGTTGTGGTGTTAGAGGAGAATATTGAAAGTGCCATGGGCTGCCCATAGAACCAACAGATCTGTGTTAGAAGAAGTGCAGCCAGAGTGCTCCTTAGAGGCCAATATGGCCAAACTTCGTCTCTCATACTTCAGACATGTTGTCAGGAGGGACCAGTCGCTGGAGAAGGCTATCATGTTTGGTAAGGTGGAGGGTCAGAGAAAAAGAGGAAGACCCCCAGCGAGATGAATTGGCAAAGTGGCAGCATCAGTGGGCTTAAGCATGGCAACAATAGTGTGGTTGGCCCAGGATTGGGCAGTGTTTCGTTCTACTGTGCATAAGGTAGCTATGAGTTAGCACTTACTCAATGACACCTAACAACAACAACATTGTCAGGTCTCCATGAGTTGAGAGTCGGTTGGAAAGCTGCTAGCAACAACAGCCTATGGCAGATTACAGTAGGCTGGAGTTAAGGGAATGGGAGATAAAGGAAAAGGAGGTAACAAAAATGATGTTTTGTTCTAGAAACTAGTTTTAAAAGGAAACAGCATAGAAAGAATGCTAGGAGATGTGAAAGGTTTTGTTTAAGATAAGGGAGGTTTATGAACCAAGCATAGGGACCTGGGAGAGAGGGTTGGATTAAACAAATAAATAAGCAAAGTAATATGAAAGGAGTGACATTTAAAATATTAGGTGAATTCCAGGGAAAGTCAAAAAGTATTGC